TCTTGGGCATGCAGGCTTCTACCGGAGGTTCATCAAGAATTTTTCAAAATTGCACGTGCTCTGTGCAAGTTACTTGAGAAAGAGTAAATTCTATTTTGATGAATACTTCTGTAGGCATTTGGAGAGTTGAAGGAGAAGTTGGTGTATGCGCCTATTATAATTTTGCGGGATTGGAGCAAACCATTTGAGGTGATGTGTGATGCTAATGGGGTTGCTCTTGGTGTAGTATTGGGAAAAGAAGGGATGAAATCCTTCACCCCATTTATTATACCAGTAAGGCCCTTAATGAATCTCAAAAGAGTTATACAGTGACTGAACAAGAGTTCTTTGCGGTGGTTTTTGCGTTCAAGAAATTTCGCTCCTATTTGCTTAGCACGAGAGTCATAGTGCATACTAATCATTTTTCTTTGAGATATTTGATGGCAAAGAAGGATGCGAAGGCAAGTTTGATTAGGTGGAAATTACTGTTGCAATAATTTGACTTTGAAGTGAAAGATAGATTAGGGACCGAAAATCAAGTTGCTGATACTTGTCCCGATTAGAGGATGAAGCTATGCGAGATTTGGGTGAAAAGGTTGAAATTGATGATACTTTCCCTAATGAGCATGTTTTAGTCGCTTCCCATGACTTGATTCCATGGTTCGCCGATTTTGTGAATTATTTGGCTAGTGACATAGTACCATTGGACTTGTCCTTTCATCAAAGGAAAAAGTTCATGCATGATGTGAAAAATTTCTTTTGGGATGATCCACATTTATATAGAAGTTGTGCTGATGGTCTTATTCGTCGGTGTGTGCCGGAAGTTGAGATGTTGAGTGTTTTGGAGGCATGTCACTCCTCGCCTGTGGGTGGGCATCATAGTGGCATCCAGACTGCCCATATAATCTTGCAATATGGCTACTATTGTCCAACCATCCACCTAGATGCTCATGAGTTTGTCAAGGCATGTGATAGGTGTCAAAGAGATGGAGGTATTTCTAGAAGGCAAAAGCTCCCTTTAAATCCCATTTTTTTAATTTTTGTTTGATGTGTGGGGCATTGACTTTATGGGCCCTTTTATGAGTTCTAATGGGATGAAGTATATTCTTGTGGCGGTTGTTTATGTATCAAAATGGGTGGAAGCCATAGAACTTGCAAACAATGAAGGGAAGAGTGTCACCGCGTTCTTGAAAAAGAACATATTTTCTAGATTTGGCACCCCGAGGGCCATTATTAGTGATGGGGGATCACACTTTTTCAACAAGTTGTTCAAAGGGTTATTGGAGAAATATGGGGTTCACCACAATGTAGCCACTACTTACCATCCTCAGATTGGTGGGCAAGTTGAGGTGCCAAACAGACAAATCAAGCAGATTCTGGCGAAAACGGTGAATGCTAGTAGAACGGATTGGTCAAGGAGGCTTGATGATGCTCGTTGGGTCTACCGAACAACATACAAGACCCCCATAGGTATGTCTCCATACCAACTTGTATATGGGAAGGCTTGTCACTTGCCGGTTGAGTTAGAGCATAAGGCCATGTGGGCAATGAAGAAACTAAAAATGGATTGGAATGAAGCTGCGGAACAAAGATTAAATGGGTTGAATGAGCTTGATGAGTTTCTCTTGAAGGTGTGTGAAAGTTCAGCCCTCTACAAATAAAAGATGAAGAAGTACCATGACCAAAAGATTGAGAAGTGCGACTTTGTGGTAGGGAATTTGGTGATTTCGTTTAACTCTAGGTTGCAATTGTTTCCAGGCAAACTCAAGTCCAAATGGACAGGTCCATTCTTGATCATTCAAGTGTTCCCTCATGGTGCGGCCGAGTTGGACAACAAGGAGGGTGCACGGTTCAATGTAAATGGGCAAAGGATCAAAATCTCCTTGTGCATGCGAAAAATGCGAATGAAGTGGTTGAGGCATACCATCTTGATGAAGTCTGAGTAATCAAGAGTCTTGCGTCGTGCCCCGATGTTAAATCAAGTGTTGATTGGAAGGCAACCCAATATGTATCCTCTAGCGAATAATAGTTTTTTCTTGACTTTATATGAGTAGTTGCACTATTTCTATTTTTACTTAATGTCATGTGTGGATTTTCTTTTAGAAGTGTTGGCTAGAGAGTAGACTAGGGTCCGTGTCTAAAAAGTGCACAAAAAATACAAAAAGAATGGATTATTGGGTGCTAAATGAGCAGGGATCAAATCACTAGAAATCTACAGAAATTGGTCTGGTGCAATGATCGACAGACCAATTGACGGGCCGTTTTCCTGTCTATGGACCGTCGATGGGGTTCGTAGAAACCTAGGTTTGTTTTCCAATATTGTCTAAGTTAGGACACACTCGACGAAGCAATCTATGTACCGTCGATTGACTTACGGTCCGTCGATGGGGAATCGTAAGTTCCCCAGATCCAAGGACCCGACCTGACCCGGCCGACTATAAAAATGATTTTAAACTTTTTAGTTACGTCCCACCTTTTCAAATCCCCCCCTCCCCCGCCAACCGTTTTTCTGCCCATATTCCCTTACTCCCATACTCACTCACACGTTAATTTACCCATTAATCCTCTCTAAATTTTTTATTCTCTCACCATCTCCACATTTCCAAAACCCTCAGTCTCCAAACTCCCATCCTTTTCTTCCATCTTTCCGATCGTTGTTCGAAGGCAGGCTCGGTGTTCTTGCAAACTTCATCCTCCCATTTACTCCACCAACACCATACAGGTGTATCATTCTCATCCACTCAATGAATACTCTTTCATTTGCATGCGAAAATGATAAAAAATGTATGTGGGTCTTGACTTCGGGACAAAACAACATGATTAATTTGTTAAAATTGGGTCCCTAGTCCCTTAGAATGATGGGAAGTGAATGGGTTGGGAGTTTTAGTGTCGAAATGAACTTTGCTATATGAACATGGTGTGCGTAATTTGCTTAAAAATTGTTCTTTAGGGGGTACCCACAATGGCTTACCAAATTGTCTCTGACCGATAGTACGAGACCCCGTCTATGGCTACACTCCGATTTAGTCTAACTCTGGAACGAGGATGTGGTGTATAGTTCATCGATTGATCGACGCACCGTCTCCCACGTCCGTTGTCTGTAACAGAACCCTTTTTGCTATAGGTTTTAAAATTTTGTCTAAGTGCCCACCGACGGAAGTGACCTAACGGACCGTCAGAACCTTGTCTCTAAAGCTATCTAAAAATTTTCTAAGAGTCCAACCGACGGACCGTCCTGCACGTCTGTTATTTCTAACAGAACCTTTGTCTCAGAAGCTTTCTAAATTTTGTCTAAGTGTCCAACAACGTAAGTGACCTACAGTCAATCGATTGATCGACGGACCATCCTACACATCCGTCTTTTTTTAAAAGAACCTTTGTCTCATATATTTAACTTCTAAAAGTTGCTAAGTGGCCACCGATAGACCATTGTTGCATTGACAGACTGTCGAGAGTACCCGTCGTTCAGTTCTGCAGTTCTAAACTTGACTGTGTTTTGTGTTCCACCGTTGTTCCATCGACGAACCGTCAGTTGGGTCGTCGTTCCATCGACGGACCGTCAGTTGGGTCGTCGACTTAAGACGCGTTTTTGACAGATTTTTCCCTATATAGAACTCCTTTTATTTTAGGACTTCATTATTATAAAGATGGTTAAAAACCTCATTTTTTGGGTTAGACTTTTCGTTATTTTTCATAATCTTGCTATTGGAAGTTGAACTTTGGAATTTGGGAATTATTTCAAGTCTCAAGAATCGATTCTCAAGATATTTTTGTTAATTCAAGTGTTATTTCTGGATTTTATTTAAACTTGTCAAAGTAAGTACATGAATTCTTATTTAACAACCATGAATTGTGTCTAAGCATGGGTAACTAAATCCACAACTAGGGTTGTGGGAACCATGGGTTATTAACAAAGTAAAATTAGCTAAATAATAATTCTAGAATAGTTTCTTGCATGTATTGATAATTCTTTCGTTTAGAAGTTTTTTTAACGAGTGCACGCGTTAGAACTTGCCCTATTCCTACTTGCCAAACCAAGGAAGTAGTTGATAGGAAAGGAATTATCAACATAAATTTAGTATACACTATCTAATAGGCTAGTTTCAATTGGTGTGAAGTAGTAACTTAGTCAAACATTGAATATGATGCTTAATATAAAGTAAAGGTAAGGTTTAGTAAAGTAGACACACGTAGCCGGACCAAGGTACGGAGTGAAATTCTCTAGTTGCCGGACCAAGGAATTAGGGATACATAACTTACCACATTGCATGTAAGACGCTAGGAAAGAATTGCTATAGCTAGGATTACCGTATATGAACCTATGGGGAACACTTACACCTTAATTTCTCTCATCACTTGATAAAAATCAAAGTTGTAAACTTGATATTTGTCTTACTTAAAAATAATTAAACATTTTTGTTACACAAAACTCCCCCTTTAATTAATTATTTTTTAAAGGACTTGACTAAATAGATGTAATTGTAGACTGAAGTTAAGTCTAAATCATTTTCCTCGTGGGATCAACCTCAACCTAACAATTGGATTCCTTACTTGATACAAGCCTTATACTTCTTTAGGGAAGTATAATTTGAGCGTATCATCTACCACGACTCTTGTCAACAGCTTGGACTTTACAAGTCTAATTCAGAGTGTCATTGGTTATTCCTTCAATATTCAATCTGGGCGCCGTATGAGTTTATCTTCATAATGAGAGCTACAACATTAGAGTTCTTTTAAATTTGTAAACTCTTGATAATGGCAAAACACTATGCAAGGTTAAATGGGGGGTTTTTAGAACTCTAGAATTGATATGAGCCTAGTGTTGAAAAAGGAGACAAAGTTCATTACAACACATTAGCAAACCCACCATTTAACCAGAAATCGCAAAACTAAGAAAAGATATTTCAGAGAAGTAAAATTCAGAAAAAGAAGATAAAATAAAACAAACCAGAGAGAAGGGAAAGTATAATGAACAATGAAAACAAATGGATGAACATAACAAAAGGAAAACGAAAACTTACCAATTTGACGCTTGTGCAGAAGATTCGTAAAATCTAGAGATTCCAGAATAATAACACATTAGCAAACCCACCATTTAACCAGAAATTACGAAACTAAGAAAGAGAAGATTTCAGAGAAGTAAAATCCAGAAATTACAGAAGATGAAGAAAATATAAAACAAACCAGAGAGAAGAGATGATTCATGAAAGTATAATGAACAATGAACAAACAATTGCATTAAAAGAAAACAAATGGATGAACACAACAAAGGGAAAACAAAAAAACTTACCAATTCGACGCTTGTGCAGGAGATTCAGAGTAGTAAAATCTCGAAATTTCAGTAAAAGAAAACAAAAAAATCAAATTAGAGAAAAGAGATAACAAAAAAAATCAAATTAGAGAAAAGAGATGAAACAATTGCATAAAACAACAAAAGAAAATTAAAAACCTACCAGTTTGAACTTTGAAGCTTGAAGAATGTGAGAACAATGTGATGGTTTACTTTGTATTCGTCTGATAATGAAGGTAATAGGACGGTAGACATGCAAATTGATATAGAACCACGTGTTGAATGACCAATAAAAGAGGGCCAGAATGATACTTGTAAAAACGTACAAACACCTAATGCTTACGGTACAATGAGTTAATGCCATGTTAGTCCTTTTGTTATTGGTTTATATAAAAAGGGTAATATATATATATATATATATATATATATATAAAAGTCACGTTGAAATTTTTTTGCATGATAATTATTTATGAAATTAAATTAAATGTGCATATTAAAATTAATACCTACATTTTTTGTTCTTCGAGAAATATACCACTAATGCCTTGAATCATGGAGAAATTTTTTAATAAACATTTTTGTATCCATATTATTTTGTTCAATAAAGCTATGTTTCTTCATCTTTTACTTGTGGTTTATCTTATCAATTTAAATTTATCGTTATTAGTTACAAATTTCAAAAAAAGTTATAGTCATATTAATAAAATTACAATATATACATACACAATTAGAGATGTTTATTGGACAGATCAGGCGGATAATTGGCTTAATGGTTTAGCCTATTGGATATCAATTTTACTAATCCTCTAGACAACCTATAAAATATTGATTGAATTGACAACATAATTAAAAATCGTCGAAAGGTGTATCGGTTAACATCTAATCACTATGGTACCTTTTTTTTAATGAACGCACCTCACAAGAAGGATGACTTTTTAGCAGTAACAAGATCAATGGTGTGTTTGGTATGAAGAAAAATATTTTTCGGAATTTTTTTTCCAATTTTCTCATGTTTGGTTAGGTAAAATGTTAAATGTATTCCAAATCAACTCATTTTTCTCAAATTTAAGAAAAATGACTTCCCTTCAAAACTCAAGGAAAATACTAGATAGGTACGGTCCGTGCTAAGCACGGGCCCAATATACTTAATTTTGATATAAATTTTTAAAATTTTTACATAAATCTCATAATGTAAAGACCTAATTACATCTTATTTCTATTGTTTATCATATTATAGAAATTCCTTCAATAAGATCGAATCGTTCTGACAAAACAAGTTGTCTATCTAGATAATTTTTCAAATATTTTCATAGAAAAATAGAAACTATACTTGATTAAATGCATACGTCAACATTGACAGAACATTTAATTCTCGTGTAAATATGCGAAATAGATAAATTGACCTCTCCTAAAATGAAATCATCTTCGTCGATCATTCTTGGAATATCAATCATCTCAGGCTCGATCTTATTGAGCTTTCTATGATTGAAAATTCCATACGTTGTTTTACTTCTCTATCAAAAAACAAATCTATCACAAAAATGTACGAAATTATTTTCTATGACCAAGAGTTATAACAATCAGCTTGGGATAAACTACAAGCAAGAAAAGCAAAAAATGAATATCAAAGAATTATAAAATAGAAGGTACATACATATTAAATCAATTTGATTTGGTCTTTGTTTAGCTAATTTAAAGAATCATCATTTGATGTTTTCTCCAGCCCGCATATGTGATTATCAGCCCTTTAAGGTGCACACACTTAACATTCTTCTATCAAATGATGATGTCAAGCATATGTTCAATTAGAACATCCTCATGAATAAGATCATTTAAAGAAAAGATTTTAGGCAATCATCAATTTTGTAATGAAATGCTAAAATTAATTAGAAGCAGTACATGTTGCAATTTTTGTAATAATAGATGATTTTAAGTATACAAATATTGATCTTTTTGTTCATCAAAAGAATTGACTCACACTCCATAATGGATATCACATTACTTCATTAAAATAATAAGGCGGTGTCCAAAAATTTAGAAATACTTTTATACATCCCTAATTATCGGTATATGGCTCAAGCAAAGACAAATAAAGAAAATTAAAAGGTAAAGGCTCTTCTTTGTACGATAATATATTGATACATAGTGCAAACTGTTTAGAATATAGTAAATAAAAGAGTAGTTAGACAAATTCATAGTAAAGTAACAGAACAAATACCACAAGATCAGCTTAATCTATTAATTTTAGGCTTCATGCATAACTATTATCAAAAAATCATGCCAAGCAAATGCCCACAAAAAAGTTATGTTACTGCACCATGAGACTTGTCACAAAGTGCTTAACTATCATTTGACTTGTTCACTAATCTCAATTTTTGTCAACACTTTGAAGAGCCACATTATATTTTATAGGAAATCTAACAAATTAGTAAGAGAAAATGTACCCAAAAGTTAATATCGACAAATTAGCAACTTAGGTAATTAATTTAATCAAAATATTAATTTAGAAATTGCATCTTAATTTATTTTAAAATTAAAATTAAAGTTGTACGAAAGTATTACTCATAACTATAAATTTCATACAAGTTGAATAAGAATCAGTAATCTAAGATCTTTCAAGCACTAAATAGACTTAAAATTATACGAATGTATTATCCATAAATATAAAATCATCCAAAGAGTTTGAAGTTATCTTTACAATTCCTCTATCAACTCATTACTATATAGCTCTACAATGTCAAAAACTATCAATCAAATCAAGAACCATATCTTCAAAATGAAATGAAAATATCTTGCTTCGACATTTTTACTAGAAGTCTCCTGCTAGAATTTTTAGAGATCACTTTCTCAAAGTTCATAGATAACCTAATAATTGGAATCTTTTTATACACTTTCTACTTTATTTTTATACTCTGTTTCAATCACTCTATTTCTACACTGATCTTGGATAGACCAAAATAATATTGAAAAGTCGTAACATTGTAAGTTAATGATGATTTATTAATTGTTAGAGTTGAAAAGTTGTGCAGCACATTTACCCTCATAATATAAAAGAGAAAAAAGAATGGTATTGATATATTGTACCTTAATTGCTAAAATTTGTCCCGACCTGCTTAGGTGCTATATCTTGTTTTGGTTCCTCGGGTGGCGTATCACAATCTCAACAGTCGTAACTTATTCTCTTTGTATGTGTTTGTTGATCTTGATAAGAAAATAATGAAATATATTTCTATTATATAGAAGAGTGAAGAGCAATGACAACCAAGGGTAAATCAATCATTTAACTTCATCAAATATCTATATTTCTTGCTACACGTGTCACTCAATACACCAAGATCATTTTATTACCACATACTCAACTTTATTCTGAATGCATCCTCTTCATTGGATTTTTCTTAATTCTATCATTATAATTAATAAATGAACTAAGACTATATTCTTCACACTAATGGTGGTAACAATTTCAGGTTAGTATTTTTCTCAATTTTTGCTCTAAGCTTTCTCTTGATTCTCTGCAAAAAAAAAAAATCTAATACTATGATTTTCTTTCTTTTATAGTCTCAACTGGGTGATTCAACTTTACATATGCTTTTATTTTAGTGTTGATATTATATTGAAAAGTTAAATGTGGTAGTTTTAATTTTGATATCGAAAAAGTTAATGTGGTAGTTATTGCCTTTTTTTTCTAACTAATGCTTTTTAGTTTTATACTTAATTTGATCAAAATAACAACAATGAATAAATAGCTAACAACATATTGAAAAGGTGGAAGAGTTTCAAAGTTGTTATGTGTAAAATGCAGTTATGACTATAAAAAATCAAGATTCTACCAGTGTGAACATGCCTTTTAAAAAAAGGTGTTTTTCTATTCGTTTTCAATTTTTCTATTCTGTTGTATGTGCCTGTGTGAAAGAATAGTTGGTGACTCTCTACTCTGCACATTAACTTTTTAATTTTTTTGAATAGAAGAATATTAGGCTTAAAGAATATGCCATGTTTCGTTAAAGCTTCTCTCTATCTCATGAATGTTGATAAACTTAATAAATTGTATCCGTGAAGTGGTTCTTGTTTTTGAATCTGATAGACTTCTATGGCATGTTCAAATTTGTCTGATTTAATCTTGGTATTGCTATTTTTCTATACTTTAGCTGTGGAGGAGAAGATAGAAGTTTTGCCTCTACAATTCATCTAGCAACTCATTACTCTATAGCTCTACAATGTCAAAAACTATCAATCAAATCAAGAACCATATCTTCAAAATAAAATGAAAATATTTTGCTTCGACATTTTTACTGAAAGTCTCCTGCTAAAATTTTCAGAGATCACTTTCTCAAAGTTCTTAGATAACCTAATAATTGGAATTTTTTTATATACTTTCTACTTTATTTTTATACTCTGTTTCAATCACTCTATTTCTACACTGGTCTTGGATAGACCAAAATAATGTGGAAAAGTCGTAACATTGTCAGTCGATGATGGTTTATTAATTGTTAGAGTTGAAAAATTGTGCATCACATTTACCCTCATAATATAAAAGAGAAAAAAGAATAGTATTGATATATTGTACCTTAATTGCTAAAAAAAATTCCGACCTGCTTAGGTGCTATATCTTGTTTTGGTTCCTCGGTGGCGTATCACAATCTCAACGGTCGTCACTTATTCCCTTTGTCATGTGTTTGTTGATCTTGATAAGAAAATAATGAAATATATATGTAACTATATAGCAAGGACATGGAGAGCATATAGTACAACAATGCTTCTTCAAATAGAATGTATCTTTTCCTTTATCAACAATAAAAACAATGAATATATGATAATTTGTGATTAGTGTTGAATAGCACATTCAACTAATATCATGATTGTGTAAATTTAGGTGAGTTAGATTAAGGATTTGCCTTCTGTAACTACTTGAAGAATGAAAAAAAAAAACAATTCTTTTCTTCTTTTTAATACCATTAAAAATATACCAACTACCCTTCGTAAGTCAATTATGAAGAAATAGAATTCCAAGGTACTTAGGCAAGGTCTAAACAAGAAAAGACAAAATTTCTATCTTCTCCTCCACAATTTAAATATAGAAAAATAGCAATATCAAGATTATATCAGACAAATTTGAACATGCCATAGAAGTCTATCAGATTCAGAAACAAGAACCGCTTCACGGATACAATTTATTAAGTTTATCAACATTAATGAGATAGAGAGAAACTTTAACGAAACATGGCATATTCTTTGAGCCTAATATTCTTCTATAGAAAAAAATAAATTCGCAGAGTAGAGAGTTTCCAAGTCCAACTATTCTTTCACACAGGAACATACAACAAAATAGAAAAACTCAAAACCAATAGAAAGACACTTATTTTTTTAAAAGGCATGTTCACACTGGTAGAATCTTGATTTGCCATAATCGTAACTGCATTTTACACATAACAACCTTTGAAAATTGTTCCACCTTTCCAATATGTTGTTAGCTATTTATTCATTGTTGTTATTTTGATCAAATAAAGTATAAAACTAAAAAATATTAGTTAGAAAAAAAAAGTCATTAACTATCACATTAAACTTTTTCAATATCAAAACTAAAACTACCACATGTAACTTTTCAATATAATATCAACACTAAAGTAAAAGCATATGTAAAGTTGAATCACCCGGTTGAGACTATAAAAGAAAGGAAACTATAGTATTAGAATTTTTTTTTTGAAGAAAATCAAGAGAAAGCTTAGAGCAAAAATTGAAAAAAATACTGACCTTAAATTGTTACCACCATAAGTGTAAAGAATATAGCCCCTGTTCATTTATTAATTATAATAATAAAAGTAAGAAAAATCCAATGGAGAGGATGCATCCAGAATAAAGTTGAGTATGTGGTAATAAAATGATCTTGGGATTGAGTGACACGTGTAGCAAGAAGTATAGATATTTGATGAAGTTAAATGACTGATTTACCCTTGGTTATCATTCCTCTTCACTCTTCTATATAATAGAAATTTTCCAAAACTCTCTTCCAACCTTCGCCTGCCTACCCCTACCCTACCAGCCCCAACCCACTCCCTACCAACCCCCCACCCTACCAACCCACCCACCTTACCAGTCTCGCCTATCCCTAAAAAAATTTAAGTTTATCTTTAAAAATATACTTTCAACTTCAAAAAATCATATTTTCACTCTATCCTCGAACCCCCTGCCATTATCACCCCATCCTCTCAAAAAATTAAGTTTGTTTTTAAAAAATACTTTGAACTTCAAAATTTCATTTTTTCACCTCGACCCCCCACCCCCACCCCATTACTACCCCCTATTAGCCCCCCACCCCCACCCCACTACTACCCCCTAACAGCCCCCAACCCCCACCCCCTCCTTCAAAAAAGAAAAATTGATGTTGCTTGTAAAGAAAAATTCAACTTTCAAATTTTTATTTTTTCACGCCTACTCTCGAACTACCCACACCCCTTCTCTCCAAAAAAAAATAATTTAAGTTTGTTTTTAAAAATATTTTAAACTTCAAAACATTTATGAAAATTGAGGATAAGATAAATAGAAATAGAACAAAGTTAGGGGGTGAATTGCATTTTTTCACCGCAACCCTCGACCCCCTCTCCCCTCCCAAAGAAAATAAGTAATATTATTTTTTAAAAATAAAATTAACTTCAAATTTTAATTCTTTCACTCCTACCCTTGAAATCGCTCCCCTCCCCACCCCAATACGAAAAAAAATTTAAGTTAATTTTCTTAAAAAAAATTCAGCTTCAAAAATTATTTTCTACTCTAGTAAAGAATAAAAGATATTTATCAAAAATGTTTTTCATTCAAGGCAAACAGTAAAATATTTTCTATTCACTAATAAAATATAAGAAAATAAATCAAATATCTACTTGTTTTTCAGGAAAATATTTTCATTCGTACCAAACACACCCCATTCAAATGATATTAGTCAGACTTTGGGCCCAGATATAAGTCGGCCCATTTTTTGCAAATCCAGTCCATGACCTGCCTACTAAATTATACAAGTATGCCTCACTCAGTCTCCTCCTCCTCTGCAAATTAGGGTTTGGCATCTCTCGCCGTCAGTTGATCTTCCTTAGTAACAATCAATCATGGCGGAACAGACGGAGAAGGCGTTTTTGAAGCAGCCAGGTGTGTTTCTAAGGTTAGTAATCTGAGCAACCTGTTAAAGTTCGTAACTTGGGGAGATATTTTAGCCTAAGATTTGCGTTTTTTCTGATACCGGCAGCTCTAAGAAGACCGGGAAGGGAAAGAGGCCAGGTAAGGGAGGCAATCGATACTTCAAGAGTATTGGCTTAGGATTTAAGACTCCTCGTGAGGCTACTGAAGGTACGTATTCATTTTGCTCAATTACTCTGCATTGTTGATTTATATTTTTGATATGAGCTTTCATATTTGCATAGTTGTGTGTCAGTCTAAATAACAATTAGTGTTGTGGAACGCCAAATTAGACATTTGTAGTCGAGGAATTCAGTCTTTCCTGCCTTTGTTGAAGGTTCAGTTTGCAGTCGCTTTGGATAAGATAGTCTTCATGAACCTGGGCCTTAAGAACTTGGAGCTTCTGCTTCTAACTTAGACGTCACAAATTTAGTGTATTTAGAATGAGTTGCGAATTGCGATCCTGACCTGTGGTTGAGATGTTCTGGGTGGAGAATATGTTATTATGGTCTGAATGGAGCCAAACATAAAATCTGTAAGACTACTAGTCTTCGATTTCCACTTCCCATCTATGAGAAGCAGTATTTTTTTTTTCCTGCACTGTCTTGATGTGTTGAGTACCAACTAGTTTAGGATTAAGTTGAGGGGAACAAGTGTAGGATTAAGGTTCTTGTACAAATTGTTCATGCCTTAAGTAATGGGTCTACATGCTTTAAATGGTCAAACTATCACTTCTATTATGTTTCTGCAGCTTAGTTGGCATTTGGTAAATCTTTCTACTATGAAGTTAAATTTTTTGCGATGTGGTTGGCTCTTTGTAAATCTTTCTTTAAGTTTTAGTGTTTCCACTGTAGTTGCCATTTGGTAAATATTTCTATTATGAAGTTATTTGCCATGCATCTGAAATGCATGAAATATGGTTTAATGCAATTTGAGTACACAAGGGGAAACATCGTATACTTGTTCTATAACTTCTTATTAGCTGGGGACTCAGTATATTAAGGCAATGTGGGTGCAAGTTATCCATATGTGTTTTAACCGGTTATGTGGCCTTCTCTTGATTTTATTTTAAATATGCTACAGAATTTCGGATAAAACCAAAGCATTTAGGATTGAAGCAATTCTGTTCTTCTCCTTAGCTTCTTCTCGTGAAGCTCTTGATTCTGCCTTTGCTTCACATAAACTAGATACTGGTTTTCCAACAATTAAACCTTTGACAGAACTAGGCTTCTGGGATTACAGGCCAAGTTGCAAGTTGCAACTCTTTTACTTGGACTTTTTTGTTCCATTTGTCAAATCGACTAAATACCTTCACGTTGTTAGCGTTTGTTTATATTTATGGAGCTTACATAGTGTATGATACTGTGAATAAAAACCTTCATATTACTGTCAATTAGTGGTGGGTATGGATCTCAATAGTGTGATGTTTATGATGTGGATAAGCTTAATATATCAAAAAAGTGCTGAATGAGTGGTGGGATAATTTCGGAGAACAGCAGGGCATTGAATTTTAGCTTATTTATTCTTTTTTGTTTCCTACATCAACCTGACCAGAATAAGATCAATAGCACATGGTAAATTCTTATGTGGGCATTCCAAAGAGACTACATTTACTTACATTTAAGTAAAGCTTGTAAATAAAAGATACTTCCTAAATAGCTATCTATGTGACCTTTATGTGGACATGTTGCTTGCTAGCTATAATGTTATCTAGATGTTGGATAGTTGAGAATGACTTTCATAACAAAGATTTCCTCAGATTTCAAGTTATCTTTTATATATGTTGGCACCAAATATCATTGATTATTTCATGGTAACCTTATGTTTGGTCTATTTAAATATAGGTACGTATATTGACAAGAAATGCCCATTCACTGGTAATGTTTCTATTCGAGGTCGTATCCTTGCTGGTACATGCCACAGTGCTAAGATGAACAGAACCATCATCGTTCGTCGCAATTACCTACATTATGTCAAGAAGTATCAGAGGCAAGAGCTTGTCACTTATAAATATTGGCTACTTGACTTCTTCTTGAGTTAGTTTTAACACATAAATTATTTCAGATACGAGAAGAGGCACTCCAATATTCCAGCTCACATATCACCGTGCTTCCGTGTGAAAGAGGGAGATCATGTTACTATTGGACAGTGCAGGTTAGAACCATCTCATTTTGATTTTTCTATAGTATTTTTTTCATCATTTGCAGTTATAGTAAGTAATTACATTTTCTGATTCACAGGCCTTTATCCAAAACCGTGAGGTTCAATGTCTTGAAGGTGATTCCGGCTGGTTCTGGTGGTGGCGGGAAGAAAGCTTTCACTGGAATGTAATGTGTTTTTCCATTTCAAATTTTGTTTCTTGTAGGAATATTATGTCAAAACGTTTCTACGTTTTACTGAGTTGTTTCTTCAAATTTTGAACTTAATGTTAGTAAGTTATGTTTTATTAAGCCTCTGAACTAGCTTTTAAAATGTTGTTTGATTGAACTTTTATATAAAAAGGATATTAGGTGATTAAAATAGCAGCTGTTTTCTAGCTTTACCAACAGGATTGCTAAGCAACGAATCAAACAAGATATTGAGTAATTACACAAGTCATGTTTAACTGATAAGTTTACAAATTGAAGACTGTTATTGGTTTAGGGTTCAAAATCTTGAAAAGGGTGTAAAACCTCTTCCCTAGTGGGATTATCTAGAGCGCGAACCCCATTGCTTTCAATCACCCTCCAAATCAGGAGGCACCATCAATCTTATTATGTCAATTTTGATCCTGATCGAATAGACTTGATGTAGTGTTGTACTAACAACTTGAAGTCGTGCAACAATAAGACATTTTGTTTTCATTTTTTTTAGTTAAAAGCATCCCATAATATAGCAATAGTGCCACCATGCCTGCAGCTGTGGAGTGGAGTCCGCCATCCCTTGAAAACACCTTCCAGATGGGAGGTTTAGAGTGAATATTATTAGTAAAGATACACATATAAAGTGCATATATACTATAACTTCAAAAGAAAAAATAGATCCAAAATATATTATTTATCAATCTCAAGTGTTGCGAAGTAGGTTATTTTCTCTAGGTATAGAAAATGCAACGTAGTAAGAAATTGAGGATTGATGTACTAAATCTCACTTAGCTGATTCCATTAATAACTTGTAGTTATAGTACATTAAAATATACTACTTGTAAAACTTCTTATTAGCCAGGGATTCGAGTTATGCATTTCTTTGTTCAAAACTCTTGGTACCTTATAAATCCTACCTTGAGAAGTAGAAATGTTGTTTTTGATTCTTTCACATTGTTTTTTAGTTGAAATTGTAGAAGCTTACAAAATGATTTTTTAGATTTATGTGCTTGTTAACGCCTTGTAACGACAAGTTACATAAAACTAGTATAGTAGTTTAGGCTCCCATACTGACAATGGCACTGGAAGCAATTTTTTTTCTGCTTTGTAAAACTGCT